TTTTTTTTTTTTGGGTCCGGTTGTAGGGCCTGAACTCTGGGCCTGGGCGCTATCCCTCAGCTCTTCAGCTCAAGGCTAGTGCTCTACCACTTGAGCCACAGCACCACTTCTGGCTTTTTTCTTTTTGCTTATGTGGTGCTGAGGAATCGAACTCAGGGCCTCATGCATGCAAGGCAAGCTCTCTACCACTGAGCCACCTTCCCAGCCCTCATTGTTTATTTTTTGAATTCCCAGCTGGTAATTGTTCCACCTGAAGCATTCATTCCTATTAGAATAATATATCTGAATATATAATATTCAGATTGTTTAGGCTAAAAAAATAAACTGACAGGGAAAAAGAGAAGAATGAAGTACCTTTCATTTTAGCATTGAAATTATATGATGAGGATGTAACTCCTCCCCTACATATGGAAAAAGATATCTGTTTAATCTTAACTGGAAGGTGGCACATTTGCTTTGTGTCGGTAGCTGTCATTATTTAAGTAGCTTTTATAATTTAGCTGTAAGGATGATGCAGTTGGCATCTTTCATCATTGCTATAATGGAGCCCACTGATGTTCTACATCTCTCATTTTTCCCAGAGTAATAACTTAGAAGCAAACTAATTTTCAGAGATCTGAAAAACTGAGATTAGTATATGAAGAGTTGCCAGAATTACTAATGTAACCATACTTATTTCTCAGATGCTAAAAATAGTGGACCTGCCTCCTCTCTCACCCCCATATTTTCTAGAGCATGATGAATTTTGTTTTTTTTGTTTCTATTCTGAAAAAGGATGAGGGAAGGAGAAACTAAATGTGGTAGGAGAGCATTTACTTGGGTGCTTTTCAAAATACTTTTCTACTAGTCTTTCAAATTTCCTTAATTTTTGTTTTAGGATATGCATGCATCTATATTCATCCTTTTGTAAATATTAAACTTAGAGAGAACTTCTTATTTAGTATTTTGCCTAAGGGAGTATAAAAAATAACTGATTTCTCAGAAGCTGAAGATTATTATTACTACTACTACTACTACTATTATTATTATTATTGCTGGTTGTGGGGTTTGAGCTCTGGGCCTAGGCACTGTTCCTGTGCTTCTTTTGCTCAAGATGACTGCTTAACCACTTAAACCACAGCACTACTTCTGGTTTTTTTTGAATCGTTTATTAGAGATGAGTGTCAGGAAATATACTTACTACCTTACTCATGTAACTGTATCCCCTCTGTACAGTATCTTTACAATAAAAAATATATTTAAAAAAGAAAGAGTGTCATACGGACTTTTCTGCCCAGGCTGGTTTCGAACTGTGATCCTCATATCTCAGCCTCTTGAGTAGCTAGGATTATAGACATGAGCCTTTTAAGATTATTCTTTTAATCTTTCATTCATTTAGTTCATTCACTGAAAACTTACTATGTCCTAGATACTTTCAATTATTCTAGGTACAATGTCATTATTAATATTCCTTTTAAAATTGGCATCTTTTAAAATTAGCATATATGTTATAAATATCTATTGGTGTGTATGTGTGTGTATGTGTGTGTGTGTGTGTGTGTGTGTGTGAGAGAGAGAGATCTCAAACTTGTGATCATCCAACTTCAACCTCCAAAGGTTATTACAAGTGTATGCTACATGGCTAGCCTGTTATTAGTGTATGTCAGTTGCAGACCATACTGGGATGTGGAAAATACTTACATATATACATAATATACTTTAATAATGTTCACCCTCCGTTACTCTCTTATCTCCCTCCTCCCTCTTCTGATGCCTTTCTTCCCAAATAGTCCCCTCTTCTACTTTTATATTATTTATTTATTTAGATGGTGCTGTGATTTGAATTCAGGGCCTTGAGTTCATGTTCTACCATTTGAGTTATGCCTCCAGTTTTTTTTTTGTTCAGCCGTGGGGTCTGCATTCTGGGCCTCGGTGCTGTCCCTCAGCTCTTCAGCTCAAGGCTAGCACTCTACCACTTGAGCCATAGCACCACTTCCGGCTTTTTCTGCTTATGTGGTGCTGAGGAATCGAACCCAGGGCCTCATGCATGCAAGGCAAGCACTCTACCACTGAGCCACCTTCCCAGCCCCATGCCTCCAGTTTTTAATGAGGACAATATTGGGGTATGAACTTGCTAGGCATCCCTCCTACCACTTAAGCTATTTCTTAACATATACATATATGATATATATGATATATATTATATATCATATATACACATATATATCTATATATTATATATCATATATATTATATATCATATATACACATATATATCTATATATTATATATATATGATATATATCATATATATTATATATCATATATACACATATATATCTATATATCATATATATGTGTATATATACATTTCTTAATTTAGATTCTGTAAATTAGAAAAACATGCAATATTTATTTTTCTGAGACTGTTTTATTTTGTTTAATATATCTTCAGTTTATCTATTTTCCAACAAATGATGTAATTTCATTTTTCTTTTAGGTTGAATAATACTGCATTGTATGTGTGTGTGTGTGTGTGTGTGTGTGCGTACGTGTGTCTGTGAATATAATTTTCCTTATCTATTCATCCTCCATTGGTGTTAACCTAGGCTAATTTCATAACTTGTTGATTGTAATTCATGCTATTATAAATATGAGTGTGCAGGTATCTAGTGTAAGCAGACTTACATACCTTGAGGTATATCTCAGGAGTGCAATGCAACATTTTTGTTGTTGTTGTTGGCTGTAGGGCTTGAACTCAGAGACTGAGTGCTGAGCTCTTTTCCTCAAGTCTAGCACTCTACCACTTTCAGCCACAGCTCCACTTCCAACTTTTGGGGGTTAATTGGAGATAAGAGTCTCACAGACTTTTCCCTGTCTGGGCTGGCTCTGAACCAGATCCTTAGATGACAGCCTCCGGAGTTAGGAGTATCTAGGATTACAGGCATGAGTCACCAATGCCCTGCAATAGTTCTACTTTTAAATGTCTATGGATTCTCCATCCTGATTTCCATAGTGGCTGCTCTAATTTACATTTCACTAACAGTGGATCAGCACATCTCCCCCCCCCCCCCCCTTCCTCCCTTTCCAATTCCCCCCCCCCCCCCCCCCCCCCCCCCCCCCCAGCGCCCCCACATCCTCAGCAGCATTTGTTGTTTGCTTTCTTGGTGATAGTCACACAGATAGGAAGGCAGGGAGGAACAGAAAGCCTGGATATTAATAATGTTGCCGTGAACTCCCATGTTTGAACACTGTGTGAGGTCTGATAGATATTTAGCTTATAGTCCTGAAAGTTGTTTTTTTTGCTGGCTTCATAGAATTTTACATCAATTTGCACAGCTTAACCCTTGGTCATATTCAAGGAAGGAGACTCTACAAAGATTAATGGACTATGTTTATTTATTTATTTATTATTTGGGTCCGGGTCGTGGGGCCTGAACTCTGGGCCTGGGCGCTGTCCCTCAGCTCTTCAGCTCAAGGCTAGCACTCTACCACTTTAGCCACAGCACCACTTCTGGCTTTTTTTTTCTTATGTGGTGCTGAGGAATCAAACCCAGGGTCTCAGGCATGCAAGGCAAGCACTCTACCACTGAGCCACCTTCCCAGCCCCTGGACTATGCTTATTGCAGCATTATTTACTATAGCTAAGATATGGAACCAACCCAGATGCCCCTCAGTAGATGAATGGATCAAGAAAATGTGGTATATATACACAATGGAATTCTATGCCTCCATCAGAAAGAATGACATTGCCCCATTTGTTAGGAATTGGAAAGACTTGGAAAAATTATATTGAGTCAAGTAAGCCAGGCCCAAAGAAATATAGGTCCCATTGTTTGCCTTATTTGCAATAACTAGTGTATGTCAGAGTCAAGCAGAAAAGGTCAGATAAGTTGATGTTAGGGGAATGAACCCCAAGGTAAGTATTCAAATGTTTTTTTCCCTTCATGCAATTGTTTCTAACATATTTATAAGATTATTTCTTTGTTGTTTTGTATGTCCCTCCCCCATGGTATACCCATGCTTTCACTGTATTTGATGTTGGTATAATTTGTGGAGGGGAAGGGAAAAAACAAATCGTTTAACTAGAGATACAGGTGGACCCATTGCAACAATGAGATGTACAAATCGTTATGTCAAAAAACAAACTTTACAACTTTGGTGGGGGGTGGGGGGGGGGTTCGGGGGGGGGGAGACGGGGGAATATGGGAAGGGATGGGAAGAGGAAACACAGAGGAGGCAGCAATGCTCCATAAGAAATGTACTCATTATCCTGCCCATGTAATTGTAACTCCTCTGTACTGTATTCTTACAATAATAAAAAAAAAAAAAGATTAATGGAGCTCTCCCCCAACTACTTTCCTCCTTGGAGCAATTCTTACAAATCTGGTTGCTCAACAGTCTCAAGCTCTATTTTCTGCTTGTTTTTCTCTACCTGCCACAGTCTTATGAAGTAGCTCTAGATAAATGTTAGATGATGTTAGCTTTGTTCCTTTTGTTTTTCCTTCCCTTAGTGTCCTCTACCTGTTGTATCGGTATATCATGTATCTTTAAAAAGTTGCATTATAAAGGTGATATGCAGAGGGGTTAGTTTTATAAGTCAGGTAATGAATAGATTTATTTCTGAACCATGTCACCCTGCCATGTATCTTACAATTTTTTTTGATGTTTGTGGCAGAAAGGTAAGTTCATCATAGCTGGAGGCAGACACCCTTGATAATTTTAATTCTGATTTATTCTTCTGTAAGTGGTACTTAGTTAAGACCCTGATTATTTAGGGTCTTATGGAAGTATGCACTGATATTTGAGCTGTGTAATGACTCCCCAGGTGTAGAATTTCCAGTAAGTACAGATCATTTTAAAGACAACAAGATTAGTAGTAGCAAGATACAACAGTTTTATTAGGTTATCCTTTTCATTAATTAGGGGCTGGTGAATTTTTTTTTTTTAAGATTCAATACCTTATTTCCTGATGCTAGTTGGTACAGCCATGAGGTTAACAATATCCTTTAAAATTTCAGGAGCAGCATTTCTTGCCATTACAACCATCTATGCTGAATCTGGGTCTGGCTTTGTAGTACCAAGTTCTTCTTCCAAATCAGGCGTGGAAGCCTTGAACAAGTATGCATGGCTATAATAATCCTGTTGTTGATGATAAATAAGTGCTTTGGTAGTTCATGGAACTAAATTCCTGTGTTCTCTCTCTCTCTCTCTGTCTCTCTCTCTTGCCTGTACTGGGGCTTGAACACAAGACCTCACATTCTTATTTAGCTTTTTTGTGGCTTGTGCTCTACTACTTGAGCCATTCTTCTACTTCTTGCTTTTTGCTGGTTAATTGGAGATAAGAGTCTCATGGATTTTTTTTTTTTTTTTTTTTGCCCAAGCTGGCTTTAAATCAAAAGCCTCAGATCTCAGCTTCCTGAGTAGATAGGATTACTGTTGTGAGCCAATAACAACAGGCAAAAGAATAATTTAAATTCACCAAGAGACTCATATTTTTGTTTGTTTGTTTGTACTACTACTGGGGCTTGGGTTCAGGGCCTGAGAGCTATCCCTTGGCTTTTTTTTTTTTTGCTTAAAGCTGTTGCTCTACCACTTGAGTCACAGCTGCACTGTCTGGCTTTATGCAGGTTAATTGGAGATAGGAGTTCCATGAACTTTTCTGCTCAAGCTAGCTTGGAATTGAGATCCTCAGATGTTTTTACCTGAATATCTAGGATTATAGGTGTAAGCTGCAGTACCTGGAAGAGACTCTTTCTCCTAGATAAGTCCTTTGTCTATGGTACCATCCAATGGAACTTTTTATAGTGATGCAATGTTTTCTAAATCTACTATATCCAGTAGCCAAAATGTAGCCATTGGACTCTTAAAATGCAATCACTGTGACTGAGAAACTAAATAAAAAATTGTTTAGTCGCATGTAGCTCTCGTCCCCTAATTAGGCATAGGAGTCAAATCTCTTTCTACTTTCCTATATGTCTTCCCTGTTGCCTTTGTTAACCTTTTAAACATATCTTCACCCTCTTTACTAAACTACTGTCTATAACTACTATATACAATTAATAGTACTAGCATAGATGAAGAACACTTGTCAGGTCTGGTGGCTTTTTCTTGTGGGAGCATAATTACTCTTTAAATTTGTTTCTCAGTGGCCTTTGCCATGGTATTAGTTGTGACAGGAGTTCTTACCATTGTCTGGCTTATGCTACTAATCATATCATTCATGTCTTTGGTACCAGTTTTTTTTCCTATTTTGTTTACATTACCACCAGAATTAACTTTTTAATGTGTGTGTGTGTGTGTGTGTGTATAATATTCCCTAGCTAAATATTTTAGGTTCTCTCATTATTCCATTCCTCCTCCCCCTGTACCTCCATCCCCTTCCTCCTAACTGCATGTGCATGCCAGGCAAGTCTTCTTCTTCTGAATTACATCCCAGCTTTTTTTCTTTACCTTTTCTTTTCTTTCTTTTTCTTTTTTTGTTGGTTGAGAGGTTTGAACTCAGGGCCTGGGTATTGTACCTGAGCTTCTTTTGCTCAAGGGTAGCATTACCACTTGAACTATCGCTCCACTTCTCACTTTTTTTTTCTTTTTTAGGTAGTTTATTGGAGGTGAGAATCTCACAGACTTTTCTACCCAGGCTGGCTTTGAACTACAATCCTCAGATCTCAGGCTCCTGAGTAGATATGAACTATCAGTGCTGGGTTATCTTTCCTCATTGGAATAAAAGCCAACTTGCCTCACTCTTGTTTATTAGTTGAGATACTGACATTATCCTTAGTCCTTTTATTTACATAAATAAACACACATGCATTTATATATTACCAGTACTGAGACTTACACTCTATAACTTGAGCCACTCCACCACCCTGGCTCTTTGCTGGTCAATTGGTGGTGGAATCTTGTGAGGTTTCCTGTTCAGGCTTGTTTTGAATGGAAGTCCTCTTGATCTCAGCCTCCTGAGTGCTGGAATTGTTTGCAGGGATAAGCCAGTGGCATGTGGCTCCTTTATCTTTCTCTTTTTCCCTCCCTGCCTCTACCTTTCCTTCCCTTTCTAGTATATTTTAATTTGTATTATTTGTATGCTTTTAGGTGGCCTTCCTTAAACTTGTTTTATAAACTAGATTAAGTACACACATACAAAGATACATATCAATATAAGTTTATAAAAATAAGCTTAGAATGAAAGATAGGTAGATCTATCTGTCATATACACATTTTTTTTTTTTTTTTTTTTGCTGGTCATCGGACCTGAACTCTGGGCCAGGGCACTGCCCTGTAGCTCTGCAGCTCTTCAGCTCAGGGCTAACACTCTACCACTTGAGCCACAGTGCCACTTCCAGCTTTTTCTGCTTACTTGGTGCTAAAGAATGGAACCCAGGGCCTCATGCATGTGAGGCAAGCATCCTACCACTGAGCCACCTTCTAGGCCCCAGTGAAATGTATTTTTAAAACAGGTTGGTCCTGTGTTTGCTATTAGTATTCCATTTTACTTCATTTAGTAAGATTTTGTTAGGTTCCTATTTCCTTTGAAGTTCACTTTAGCAATTATATTAAAGCCTAGTTAGACATGGATGTGGTTAATATTTTAAATCTATATAATTCGTCTCTTATTCAATTAGAGTACTTGTGATGCTTCAGACATTGTGACCATAAGTAAAATTATAATGAACTGTGAGTACAGGATTGAACTCCAGAAAATGTGAGGGAAGGTTATAAAAGTCTCATGTTTTTATATGAGTCATGAGTATCCATTCTAAAAATCTATAGTGATGTTGGGTTTCTTCTAAATTGTAGAAGCCAGGTTGTATAACATAGAGACTAATGATAGTAAAAAATGAATGGTAGGTCGTATAGTAGAGTGATTAAGGGAACAGACTCAGGCTAGACTACTTGAGATTGACAAATTAGCCACATGGCCTGGTGAAATTGTATTAATTCTCAGTTACCTTATTTGCAATCTAGGCAACAGCAATAACACTTACCTCTTGGGATATAATCTCTGGCATGTAGTAAGCATGCAGTGAGTGTCAGCTACTCATGTTTTTAACATGTGGTACAATATTTTGGAATACATTGTGTTTATTTCAATTTTTAGATCACTTGCAGGTGAATGGGGTAAATATGGAATGCGATTCAATATAATTCAACCAGGGCCAATAAAAACTAAGGTAAGTCTTAGTTGTTATATTGTGACACTGAATGATCCAGGAACAGTATAATAATTGATTTTGTGTGAAGAATTTCCCAGGAATGTATGGGTTTGAATCCTTGGTTGCCATTATCTAGCATAAGAAGTAATGAGGGAGTCAGGGATATTAACAGCTTTGTAATGATGTGGTAAGGTCTGTATCAATCTCCTAATCTTCTAGGATTCCTTGTGCCATCCATCTTAAGCTTTTTTCCTTTCTTTTTTTCCTTTCTTTTTTCCTTTCTTTCTTTTTTCCTTTCCTTTCTTCCTTCCTTCCTTCCTTCCTACCTTCCTTCCTTCCTTCCTTCCTTCCTTCCTTTCTTTCTTTCTTTCTTTCTGTCTGTCTTTCTCTTTCTTTCTTTCTGTCTTTCTCTTTCTTTCTTTCTTTTTTTCTTTCTTTCTTATTTGCTTCTGTTACTGTAAAGTGTTATTGTTCTGTATTTCTTATACCATATGGTAAAGATTCTTATTCCTTTGATCTCCTTTTAAAAAATTTTAATTTTATTGTCAAGGTCATGTACAGAGGGGTTACAGTTACATAAGTAAGGTAGTGAGTACATTTCTTGTCTAACTTGTTGCCCCCTCCCTCATTTTTCTCCCTCTTTCCCTCCCCCCAAACACCCCCAAGTTGTACAGTTTATTTGGAACATATTGTCTTGTGAGTATTGCTGTTGTGTTGGTTACCTCCTTTGTCCTTTGTCTCACCATTTTATTGTTCCCCTTCCCTTCTCTAATTCAGATAAACATATATACAATACCCAGGATGCCAAAATCAAATGCAATGACAACAAGGGATAAACCATAGGGGGAAAAATCACAAAAGTAAAAAGATATCATGTAGTACATTAAAAACAATGACCAAAAAAACCCCTCTTGTGTCTATGCATTGGAGTTCATTTCACTTAGCATCATCTTATATTTGACCTCCCTTTTTAAATCATGGAAATGTAATTATATTTTCAGTTTAAGTCATGCTCCAGAAACTTATCATGAAGGTTCGGCTTTGCTATAGGTAACATTTTCTTTGAGTCATACCCATGCTTCTGCACTTTGTCAATTATGTGTGTCATCTCACTCCTACATCTTTGTGATTGAAAAATCCTTTTGATGGCATGATTTTACCTATTATTAATAACCTTATAGACCTCATTGCGACAGATAATTATCACTAATAATGCAATTACAGATGTTTCTCAGAATGTCCACCTTTTCTGTTTTTTCAGATGATCTCACAGGTAACTTTGCCATCACCTTTCTTTTTGTTTTCATGAAAAGCAAGAATTTATGATTGCTGCAAACCCAGTCAAAATGCATAAATGTAAAAGAATTAGTACAGTGGAACATTTAGTAGGTTGTTCTGGGATGTTAAATATTCACATGGAAATGGCCACATTACTTTATTTAGCAACTTAATGGGTGATGATTGGAAAGAAAATTATCTGAGCAAGAGAAACTTGATTTAAAATCTTATCCAACACATCAAAAATAGTCTAATAAAATTAGTGGGAAAATAACTCAAAAGTATATATTAAGACATGACAGGGGGGCTGGGAAGGTGGCTCAGTGGTAGAGAGCTTGCCTTGCATGCCTGAGGCCCTGGGTTTGATTCCTCAGCACCACATAAGCAAAAAGAAAAAAAAAAAGCCGGAAGTGGCGCTGTGGCTTAGGTGGTAGAGCGCTAGCCTTGGGCTGAAGAGTTGAGGGATAGTGCCCAGGCCCAAAGTTCAGGCCCCACGACCGGACCCCCCCCAAAAAAAAAAAGACATGACAGGGTATATCTCTGCTAAGCACTATTTGAGAAGAACTGCAGTCATAGAGGCTTCTTTCTTTGGTATGCAAGAAAGATCACCTGTTAGAGTTACCTAACTTGTATTTATTGAGTACTCACTGTGAACAAAGGTACTCAAGTGATAGAGTTCTTCCTGTCAAGGAAGTTATCTCTAGCAATATAGTCATGAACTGTATTCAAGTAATAGGTATATTTTTTGTTGTTATTTTTGGTGTGCACGTGCACATGTATATGCATGCACAGACGCATGCCAGTCCTGGGGCTTGAACTTAGAGTCTGGATGCTGTCCCTGAACATTTTTGTTCAAGGCTAGCCTTCTATCACTTGAGCCACAGCTCCACTTCTGACTTTTTGGTGGTTTAATTGAAGATAATGGAGTTTCCTACTTGAGCTGGCTTTGACCCACAATCCTCGATCTCAGCCTCCTGAGTAGTTAGGATTATAGCTGTGAATGTTTAAAAAAACATTGAGGTAGAGAAACTAACAAGCTTTGATAGAATGAAAATCTTCCAGTTGTTATCTTCGTCCAAAAAGACTCCGGAGGGTTTATAAGGTGCCTAGAGTCTGTGTTGTGTTTCCTACTGTGTTGCTGAAGCAAGCAAGCTTTCACCCATGTTTCAAGGCTTGAATAGAGAAAAAGCTAGCTATTGTTATTAGTGTACCTAGACTTCATCTTGGCCTGTCTCTGTCTTTCATCAGTACAAAACAGACTGGGGAGCAAGTTTGCTGAGGGTTCTTTTCTTTCTAAGATCTACTTATGTTTCATATCCTTATGCCTGTGTTTTATTTCTTTTCTGTTATTTTGGGAAGCAAAAAGAAGAAAATGAACCTTCTTATAAAAATTGACTAACCTGAGTGACTGGTCTGTGTTTGCTGAATGGAAGGATAAGGTTACCACTCCCTGTACCACACAGCACCCTTCACAGATTTCACCCTTCTTTCAAAGACACTGGATTATTTGATGTTTGTAACAACTTTGTGAAATTAAAGTAAATATCTTCACCTTATACAGCAGAAACTAGGAAAAAAGGTTACATTTTTTTCTTGGCTTCTTTTTCCTTCCTTCCTTCCTTCCTTCCTTCCTTCCTTCCTTCCTTCCTTCCTTCCTTCCTTCCTTCCTTTCTGCCTTCCTTCCTTCCTTCCCTATTTCTTTCTTTTTCTCTCTCTCTCCTTCCTTCCTTCTCTTTCTCTTTCTTTTTTCTTTCCTTCCTCCCTCCCTTCCTTTTCCCCTTTGTTCCTTGTTATTGTTTTAGGCTAAATAGAGGTATCAGGCCTTGGACTAGAGTGAATGTAAAAAAATTGGTTAAAATTCTGTGCCTCACAAAGCCTAAGGTATGAACAGGCTGCTATGGTAGTAGCTTCCCATTTTATACAAATGGGCTTAAGTAGGAAAAGGATTGCATTTAAACACATACACATGTCCACACAATATAATTGCATTTTTTTAATTCCTAAGGGTGCATTTAGTCGTCTGGATCCAACTGGAACATTTGAACAAGATATGATTAACAGAATTCCCTGTGGTCGGCTGGGGACTGTGGAAGAACTTGCAAATCTTGCTGTTTTTCTTTGTAGCGATTATGCTAATTGGATTAATGGAGCTGTAAGTAGTTTTGTGTCTTTTGTTTTTTGGGGGAAATGGGAAGCCCTATTTTAAATCTAGTTCTGGCAATGCTGAATGTAAATAGGATATAAATACTCACTTAATATAAAATACTACATATAATAGTCTTAACATTTTCTCAATAAATATGTCTATCTACTGATAGACATGGCTCTAAAATGATCCTTATGATTGAGCTAAATCTTACTGGGAAGAGAATCCTAATTATTATTCAATTGAGGCTTAATCATCAGTTTTATTTTTAAAATCTAGGGGTTTCATTGAAAGTGCCAAAGAGATATTCTATCCAACTAAGATATGAAAATAACTTCTTTTTAAGGTCATTAGATTTGATGGTGGAGAGGAAGTATTTTTATCAGGTGAATTCAACAGCCTGCAGAAGGTAATGCCATTTCATTATAATACTAGCAGCTATGATGCTAAGCTTTAAAACAAACAACCCATATTAATTGAAGCTTTCTTTTTGTGTCAGATTACCAAAGGGGAGTGGGATAAAATAGAAGGACTCATTCGGAAGACCAAAGGCTCCTAAGGCAACTTGAGCTTTCATCTTGAGTACAGTAAAAGTTAGAAGCAACAAATGATGCACACTCTGATCATTTGATCAGATGTAAGATGAATTTGATCATTTGATCAGTGTAAGATGAATAAATTGTTGTCTGATTTGGTTTGTTTTGGCTATTTTTGTGGTGTTGGACTTAAACCAAGGGCCTCACACATTCTAAGGTTTCTACCACTGAACTATATCCTCAGCACTAATAAAAACTTAGCAAACATTACCTAAATCTTCTTATGTGTCAGGACAGTGGTAGCAATTGTTCAAAAATCAGATATTTCTCTACAATTTTTTTTGTTTGTAGCATTTATTAACTGTACAACATAATGTGCTTTTGCTTTTTTTTTTTAATGATCCTTTAAGCAGTTGTACAAAGGAGTTTCAATTAAAGATGTCAACTTATGGGTACAATGCATCTTGATCAATGTCACCCCTTCCATTGTTCTACAGCTATCACAACCTCACGCATCCTCTCAAGTAACCCCGTTCCATTTTCACAGACGTACATTGAATGTTATAGTCATCACATCTCTTCCTTGCCTTTATTGTTCCCCGTTCCTGCAAACACATGTTTTAGCTTCCTAAACTATAAGTTAGTGTTCAAAGAAGTTATACCATTGCAGTTTTCCTCTATACATACTTTATTTAATCAAAATGTTTAGGAATATATCATATGTTTCCATATGTGTTTATAGTTTCTATGTGTCCTTTTGTTTTGCTGAGCCTGACTAACTTGGTCTAACATAAATTTTCCAGGTCCATCAACTACCCTGAAAATGACATAATCATAATATTTTTTTCTTGGATGGACCAGTATATAAAATATATGAGTTTCTTTTTTTCTTTTAGATGATTTTTCTTTTCTTTTTGTCCTTAATATATATATTTTTATTGTAAAGATACTGTACAGAGGGGTTACAGTTATATGAGCAAGGTAATGAGTCCATTTCCTATTGAGCATTGTTACCCCCTCCTTTGTTTTTTCCCTATCATCCCTTTCTTCCCTATTTCCTCAACTATTCCCTCCCCCTGCAAGTTGTAAAGTTCATTTTCAACATAGTGTCTTGTACATCTCATTGTTACAATGGGTCATCCTGTATCCTTATTTCAGCATTTTGTTATTTCCCTTCCCCTCCCCATGTTAGAAATATATATATACAAGATGCAAGAAACCAGAATCAAATACAGTTACAGCAGGGGTTGTACCATGGGGGAAGAACAGACAAAGAAACCAAAAAGAAAAAAAAATCACATAGTACACTATAAGTACATTAAAAAGAAAAACAAGAAAGATAAATCTCTTGTGTCCCTATCTTGGGGCTCATTTCGGTTAGTATCAGGTTATATGGTCATATGTACATAGCTTTTAACCTCTTCTGCTTGTCCTACACATATACTAGTTATTGCAGAAAAGGGTAACCATGGGAACTATGTTTCTTTGAGTCTGGCTTACTTCACGTAATATAATTTTTTCCAAGACTCCTTTGTTCATTATCGAAAATGTAGGCTGGTGTGTGTGTGTGTGTGTGTGTGTGTGTGTGTGTGTGTGTGTATGCACATTCATGTGACTCAAGGCGCTAACACTTTACCATTTGAACCATAACTCCACTTCTGGCTTTTCTGGTGTTTGAAGATAAGAGTCCTACAGACTTTCCTGCTTGGGCTGCCTTTGAACTCTACAATCCTCAAATCTCAGTCTCCTGAGTAGCTAGTATTACAAGTGTGAGCCACCAGTTCCTGGCTGTTGAGCTCTTTTTATAACTTGGCTATGACTAATAATGAAGCAATGTAAACATGTTTACTTGTAATCTTCTACATAGATGCCGGACTAGTATTGCTGGATAATTGAGGTCTTTGATCCATTTTGAATTGGTATTAGTACAAAGTAACAGACAGGGATCCAGTTTCAATCTTCTGCAAATGGCCAGTTTTCCCAACACTACTCATTGAAGAGACTTTTTCCAATATATTTGGCTCTTTTGCCAACATCAGATGGCTGCAGGGCTGGGAAGGTGGCTCAGTGGTACAGCGCTTGCCTTGCATGCATGAGGCCCTGGGTTCGATTCCTCAGCACCACATAAGCAAAAAGAAAAAAAGCCGGAAGTGGTGCTCTGGCCAAGTGGTAGAGCGCTAGCCTTGAGCTGAAGAGCTGAGGGACAGTGCCCAGGCCCAGAGTTCAGGCCCCATGACCGGACCCCCCCCTCCCAAAAAAAAGCAAACAGATGGCTGCAGGCATATGGTTTTTTTTCTGAGTCTTTGAATCTTCAGGACTATTTCTTTTTTAGTACCAAACAATTTTTGTTACTTTAGCTCTATAGTAATGATTGAAGTCTTGAATTGTGATACCTCCAGCATTTCTTCATTTTTTTGCCTATAGGTTCAACTTTCTCAAAATCCATATATATATATACATATATATATGAATGTAGGTAATTATAATTTTTCCATATTATAAATAAAATATACCAAGTTTTTTTTTTGTCAATCATGGGGCTTGAACTCTGGGCCTGGGAGCTGTCCCTCAACTCTTCAGTTCAAGGCAAGCACTCTGCCACTTGAGCCACAGTGCCACTTTCTGTTTTCTGGTGATTGGAGATAAAAGTCTCATAGACTTTCCTGCCTGGGATGGCTTTGAACCGTGATCCTCAAATCTCAGCCTCCTAAGTAGGATTATAGGTGTGAGCCACTGGTGCCCGGATATATCAACATTTTGTGCATAAATATTTTTTTTTTTTTTTGTCGGTCGTGGGGCTTGAACTCTGGGCTTGGGTGCTGTCCCTCAGCTCTTCGGCTCAAGGCAAGCGCTCTACCACTTGAGCTACAGCGCCACTTCCGGTTTTCTGGTGGTTTATTGGAGATAGGAGTCTCACGGTTTTTCCTGCCCGGGCTGGCTTTGAACCGCGATCCTCAGATCTCAGCCTCCTGAGTAGCTAGGATTACAGGCGTGAGCCACCAGCGCCCGGCTAGTGCATAAATATTTTTATCATCAGGATTTTTTTCTTATCACAGATTACTAGAAATAATGTAGGAATCAAAAATTATAAAACTTTTACTTTGATAATATATTTCTGATGTTTTTTATTCCAAAAACTTGCATGGGTTTATAACCCCTGAGTAGTGTGAAGACTGTGATTTCAAGAAGTATTTGCCAATTTTATAAGGAACAAATGACAGCTCCTTTAAAAACATGTTTAATAGGTAGGGTTTGGACTCAATAGTGATCAATGACTGTAGTTTGAACCACACAGGAAATTCTTGTTTGTAACTTTACCTGTTCATGATTATTTACTGTATTTGATTGAGTTTGTATGCAGTTTTTTTTTCTATTAGTCACCTCATTTTCTCATTATTCCACGTCTTTACAAGTGGTGAGTAAGATGAAATGATTGTCCCCACTAAGAAGTTGCTTCCAGAGTCTGAAAGAGGAACAAGTATTATTAAAGTATTATTGAAGTCTGAAAGGGGAACAAGTATCACACTTTCTCTGTGACAGTCTGCCCCTGGGCTGTAACCACATGCGTGTTAATCAGTAGCCTCACCCTTAACTTATCCTTAAGCATTAGTGCTGTCATGCTCTTCAGTGCCTTTTTCAAGAGTCCTGCTTCTAATGCACTAATGGAGGACTTAACACTTAAAGTGAGGATTATGCCATGTGATCTGATAGTTAACATGTGGAAATCCCCAGGAAATATTTCAGTTCCTGAATGACAGTCATTATTTCCTTATTGATCTTATAGAAACTAAAGTGGCATGAACACATTAGCCGGGTGCGGGTGGCTCACGCCTGTAATCCTAGCTACTCAGGAGGCTGAGATCTGAGGATCACAGTTCAAAGCCAGCCCAGGCAGGAAAGTCCATGAGACTTAGAAAAATGGAAGTGGCACAGTGGCTCAAGTGGTAGAGCGCTCACCTTGAACTGAAGAGCTGAGGGACAGCGTTCAGGCCCAGAGTTCAAGCCCCATGACCAACAAAAAAAAATGTTTATAGTCATAGAATTTAAGTTATAGAATTTTAGGGCTGGAAGTTAAAAAAAAATGCCCAATGCCCAAGGTAGCTAGATGACTAACCCTAAAGAACACTGTCAACCTTGTATCGCTATCCTAATCGGATATCTGTAGAGTTCATAACTTAGAAGATAATAACAGTCTTATGAGCTATACATTTTGCAAAAACTTTTAAAGGGAAAATTCTATGGATTTTACATTGTAATTTAAGAAGTACAAAAGTCATGAATTATCATAAATCAAACATATGCACGTAATACCTACACAGATGAAGAAGAGAACATGACCCGGAAACTAGAAGTTTCTCATAAAATGTTTTACCTTCTCCCTAGGACTAATCATTGTCATGACAACATCTTGCAGTATAGGTAAGCTGCCCTTTCAATTTATATAGAACCATGGATTAGGTACTCTTCTGTTTCTAACCTTTCTGTGTAGCAGTTGCTTGTGCGTTCTCATTGTTCTATAACATTTCATTTATGGTTTATATGACTAGACGGTCTTGTGCTAGTTCTGCTGTTGGTGAACATTTGGGTTGTTTCTAGTTTGTAGCTCTATCAAATACAGTGTAACTGTGAAGAAGACAGTTCTTTGGGTTAAAAATACATACGTCTTTCTCTATTTGACTGATAATTCCTGAAAGTGAAATTGCCAGATTATAGGATGTTGATAAATTCAAATTTCCAAAGTGTAATTTAACTTTCCACCAACAGTGTGTGAGAATGTCCACTATACTACATCTTAACCCATGGTCAGCAGTCAAATCTTTTTTTAATCCTTTCTGATCTCATTTTCAAAACTTATATTTCATTAGATAAATATTGAGGCTGAAGACTTTTTGTGAGTTCATCAGACATTTTGATTCCTCTTTTTGTGAAATGTCAATTCTACTTTCTTACAAGTTGATCAAATAGGTTCTGTTTTTAGTAGTAATGTTTATGTATTTTAGATATATAGTTTTGTCAATCAAATATCTTTTCCCATTCTGAAATTCGATTTCTCTCCTCCTCTCTGGTGGTATTAGGGGGTTTTGAACTTATGGAATCATGTGCTTGCTAGGCAAGTAAGCTATTACTTGAAAGTAAGCTATTACTTTTTTGCCCAGTCCATTTTTCAGATGAGGTCTCACAATTTTGTCAGCATCTACTCCTGCTTACTATCTTACATCTGCTTTCTGAATAGCTGAGATTACAGGCACCTGCCACCAAGCCCAGTTTTTTTTTTTTTTTTTTTTTTTTCAGATAAGGTGTTCCTAACTGTGTCTGAGCTAGCCTTAAACCACGATCCTCCTGCATAGCTAAGATTACAGGATGAGCCACTAGGAGTCTGACTTTCCACTCCTAAAAGTATCTTTTGGGACACTTATTTCAATGGAGTACAATTTTTCCATCTATCTCCTATTTTATTAAGAAATATTAAGCTAGGTAATTTTTCCACCTCTGCATACCATTTATATTTAGTTGGGAACTAGGAATGCATTTTGTTTATAGAGTGATATAGATGATATCTTCCTAATCTTTCATTTACCTTTCTAGATTTACTCCCTCCCACCCCCCCCTATTTTTCATGCTGCTTTCTGGCCTACAGAATTAGAATTGTCACATGCATGCAATGGTTACTAAATAGCTGAGGTATAAGAATTTCTTGGTCTTAGAGAAGTCTATATGTAGTGGCTCATATCTGTAATTCTGTCTATTCAGATTGTGGCTTGAGACCAGCCCAGGCAAAAAAACCCTATCCTACCCAACAAGTCAGACATGGTGGCATATACTTTTATCCCAGTTACATTAGAGGGCATATACGAGGCATTCCGGGGTTAGCCCTGGACAAAATAAACACAAGACATTACTTGAAAAATAAAGCAAATACATAAGTAACTAATAAATGTAGTGTTGGCAGAAGGCTTAAGTGACAGAATGCCTTTCAAGCAATCCTGAGCCCTGAGTTCAAAAGCAACAATACCACCAGATGAGACAGAAACACAGAAAGAAGAATAGAAAGAGACAGAAAGAGAAAATTTCTTCTTCTGAATCTGATACTATTCAAGAGATTAATTCCACTATGGTAATTCCAACAGTGCGAGGTTTGTGACCATTGTTACTATCAGCTCTCTAGGAAGTCTCCAGAAATACCACCATTATTTTAAAACTCCCAAACCTAGTAGAGTTTTGATGTTGTGATGAACAACCATTTTTTTCTATAGATGAAATACAGGAAAATATGTATGTTCTTCTTACTCTCATGTATATATAGTTATATATATCTGTCATCTGTCTATCTATCAGCTGATGTGGTCAACTATAGCAAACATTAGGATGTTTTGATATTTCTTGCCCAATAATAGTGTTAGAAGCACTTCTAATACAAAGAGTCATCGAATAATTTATTGTATCAGGTTTTCATTTGTCTCTTTCTTCAGGCAATAATAATTTGACCATCTTACATTTCTGTCTTGTTTGATTATGGATTACATGTCAGCTAATCTTTTTGAGAAGAAATAAATAAGAGAGATTGATATTATTTTCTTCTTTATTTGTTCTTTATAGTTATAATATCAGTATTTCCATTTACACACTACAGGCAAAGCCAGTCTACTAATTCCATCATTTGATAACTTTTTAATTTTTGGCAAATCTCTTTTCTGTTCATTCTTGAGGGAAAGAGATAGCTCGCATTTTTTGTTATTTTTATTAATGAAAAAATGTGTAAAATGAGAACTTTGAAGCTGATGTAGGACCATCATTAACTCTTTGCAGTAACTATACATTTTACAGACATTTCTGTCCTTGTTCCCTGCTTCACAATCAAAAGATCTAAAACCATCAACCATTACAAGTCAACTATAACCAGGATAGGATATTCTCGCTATAAATATGTGAAACTGTCACTTAGATATAGATCAAGGGAGGTTTGGGAATCTCTGGCTAGATAAGATAAATAATTATACTAGCATTTCTCTTCAGATGCTACTATGAACTCGTTTGAAACTATTTGCAGATAGAAACAGCAATTTTGATTGCTGATCTCAGTATGAAATAGAGAATCGACAGAATACACAAAAGTATTGGCGATAGAACATTCAGTCATCAAGATGCTATGAATCTTACATAAAATTCAGTTATGTAGTAAAAAATAGAGTTGTTATAGCTAGAAAAAAATATTTTCAGAGGTGGAAGTTACCCATGGTGGAAATGAACAGTTCTACATAGAAAGAAAATCCAGGAAGTATGCAAACTAGACACTAGGATACTCAGCATCATAAATTTAATTGGAGATTACACACAAGACTTGACACAAGACAGCAATTTACTAGAATAATTATAATTTGAAACACATGAAATAGTTTAGAAAATTGAATAACATCATATTTTCTGACAGTGGACATGTAGGAAATATCAATGTCAAATCAGACAGATTTTTTGGGTCATCTGGTGCTGCCATCCCCTGTTTTCAGATCAATTCGAGACAATCATTTGATAGTGATTCAAATGATTGGCAAATTTAATCTCTGGGGAAACTGTTGACTTCTGAAAACCACAAATGATTTTTTATTAATATCTTGATACTTAGGTGTTTTAGATGTAAAAGTATATTTTTCCTAATAGCTGTGAATAATAGCTTAGTAAAATTTTATGGAATAGTCAGATGATTGTCTAAGAAAGCTTGGCTTATCATAATGATTCTCTTATTCAGTGACAAATGTGCATTTACACACCAGAGTATAGAGTTTAAAATATTAATTCTGATGAAATATTTGGAAAAATCAACATCCAACTGTATGCATGGAAACAAATATATAGATATAGATTTAATTGGGTATACTGACTGGTCTAAGCATAGGCTTTCTCCTTTTTAATCATATAGTTACAAAAACTGTACATTACAAACAGTATAGAAACAAGCAGAAAAGAATATGCCACACATCCTGGATAATTATCTATATGCAGTGAAATTTACAGATATAAAAGAAAATACAGCCTACTCCTTTATAGTGCACAGTTATTTATTTTAGATACAATGTATCACTAGCTTGTGGTTGTTGTCACCAACTCTAGTTGTCTCCAGTAGAGAGAATAAGAGCCAGGTCTGTTCGGTACAGCTTCCCTCCATCTGACAAAGCCATTATATTCTTCTTGTATGTTGTAATATTATTGATATCCAGATCCTGCACAGAATATAGATGGCATTGTAATCCAGTTAAATATTGAATTCATCAATTATTATCCAGTGAGAAATTGTGAGATGCAAGCTGCCTGTTACATCAATATATTAGGAAAAAAGCTGGATTAAAGCATTATACAAATGTGAACAATTGTGAGATTTTTAAAAAATACCTGTTTAACATAGATAATGATTTAGGTCAGAACCAAACAGCTAAAAATCAAAATCTAGGGAAGAACCTCCATACCACTTTCCAGACTGGTTGGACATTCCCACTAACAATATAGCAGCGTTCCCTTTTGGCCACATCCCCACCAGCACCTGTTATTGTTAAGTTCCTCAAAGACTAAACATAGAGCTTCCCTATAACCTAGCAATTCCACTCCTGGGCATTTATCCAATAGAACACAAATGACACCACACCAAAGCAACCAGTACAGTCATGTTCTTTGCAGCACTGTTTACAATAGCCAAGGAATGGAGTCAACCCAGATGCCCTTCAGTGGACAAATAGATGAAGAAGATGTGATTGACACACACACACACACACACACACACACACACACACACACACACTGGAATTCTATGCTGCCATTAGAAAAAAATGATACCACTTGGAAAAAATTATATTAAGTGAAGTAAGCCAGACCCAAAGAAACATAAGTTGCATGGTTTTCCTCATTTGTGGTAAGTAGAAGGTGTCTATAAATCTTCAAGTAAAAGACAAAAAATACACTTGGACATGATAAATTATACAGAACTCTAGACACAGTCTTAGGAGAGGATCCCAAAGGCTCAATAGCTATGTGCATATGATCATATAAAATGATGCTTATTGAAATGAACTCAAAGAAATGGAAACAAGAGGATTTTTTTTCTCCCTAGTTGCTTTCTCCTTTTTGATTTCTCTATCTGTTGTCTTGTTTGTAAGGTTATATGTGTTGGAGAGAGTATGGGGGAACATAGAAATGGTGGGACAAAGGATGAACCATAGAGGCAGTGATACTCACTATAGTATGAACATGAACTATACAACTTGTGGGGAGAGGGTCAGGAGGGAAAACCAGGGAAAAAATGATGGAAGAGGTGACACTGTTCAAAAAGAAATGTACTTATTAACTGACTTAAGTAAGTGTAACCCCCATGTACATCTTCTTTACAATAACAATAAAAAAGAAAAAAAACAAGATCTACTGCTGCTCTATAAAATTTTAAAGTAAATTTCTAAAATGGACTTGTAGTTTCTTGGGGATGGATCCTCCATAAAGACTGCTTAGAAAATGAATGGCATAATAAATTACCTGTTTATTCTTCTCACAGAGGTCTTTCAGTAAAGCATCCAGTTCATTTTCATCTATGTATCCATTGCCATCCTGAGGGAGGAGAAATAAAGCAGTCTACATCTAACTGCATCCACAGTGGGGGAATAAGTACAATGGAAAGAGTTGCAATACTTACAAAAATCTCCCAGCTGAATACTTAGTGGAAATTCTAACCTTTCACCGGGTTTATAGCTACTTTACAGTTGCAAATTGGGCAAGTGACTCTCACTCAATACCTTGAATTTAGCAAAGGATATAAAAGTCAACATCCAAAGATGTCCATTGATAATAGATAAAGGAGATATGTATCTATATCTATCTCTGTATCTCTGTATGTATATGTATGTATGCATGATGTATGTATGTATGTATGTATGTATGTATCCTACTGAAATGTTACTCCACACTAAAAAAGAAGAAAATTCTGCAGAACCTTGAGGACATTATGTTGAGGGAAGCAGGCTAGTTAGAGGAGGATATATACTTCATGTTTCCATTTACGTGAAAATTCCAAAATAGAAACATGGAAACAAAGTAGAATGGTTGTTGTCACAAAAGGGAGGATTTTATGCCCAATTATTAATTATACATGAGAAATAGGTTCTAAAGATTGTTTCTATAGTTAACAATACTATATTTTAATTTAAAAAATTGAAAGCATAAACTTCATGCTAGGGGTTGTGTCACCACTCACAAGGGTGAAGAAATCAGAAAGAAAGCAAAAATAATGATTTACCTGATCATATAACTCAAAGGCCTTGTTGAACTCTTTTCCACACATTTTTATTCCCTAGGAGACAGAGAAGAGAACAAAAGTTAAAATACTATTATTATATTTTAGTGTATTTTTATTGATAAGTCTCCTATATTCTATTTAAGGATACTAATATTTACTGTAGAGAAAAAAGTTAAATACCTGAAATTTAAGAAGAAAATTCTCTTGCACTGGTAGTAACCTTTAAAAACAGAATATTATATTGACAAGTTAGATTTTGGGACAAAGGCCATCTTATTCTGACGACACTTCCAGAATCCCCAAACTCACCTGGCCATCTCGGTCAGCTCCAACTTCCCATCATTATTTGAATCAAACAGTTTTAGCTGAAAGAAAGAACATTGTTATTCTAGCTATTGAGTCATAATGTGTAGAGTGAAGGAGACAGCATATAAAATTAAGCAGCTTGGGTTACCAAATTCTTATGTAAATAATACAATTTTAGAAATTAATATTTTTTTCTTTATTTGTTTGTGGGGGGTGGGGTGGGGGACTGGAGTTTGAACTGAAGTCCTTGAGTTTCTGGCAGATGCTTGAGCACATGGGCCAGGATCCTGTTCTTTTCTTGTTTTAGTTATTTTTCAGGTAGGGACTCATGTTTTTACCCAAGGTTGCCCTTTGACCAGGATCCACATACCTGAACACCACAGAACTGGGTCCATAGGACCATATCACCATGTCCAGCTTATTGGATGAGACGAAGTCTAATTTATTTTTTCCTGCGTCAGCCTGTCATTGGGATTCCCCTAGTCTTTGCCTCCTGATCTCTACAGCCTGTATAACTAGTATTTCTAGAATTTTTGATGTGAGCACTTTTAATGTAAACTTTCAATTCTATAATTTGTGTCAATTGCTGATGAGACTATAGAATTACTAAACAGATAATGTAATGTTCTTAACTAGACTTCTAGAACATTATGATTTATTTATTTTGCAAACTGTACATTTGTATGTACATCAGATCATGAGAATGATACCTGGTAGTAAATGGTATTTCCTTAAACTTTTCAAACAGTAACTTGAAAACCGCTGTTCACTTATCTGTCTTTCTTTTCTTGTGCTTCACCTCTCTATCTTTCCTTTGTAGTGCTGGAATTCCAAGCTCTTGCACATGCTAGACCAGCACTCCACCACTGGGCTACATCTCCAGTCGTTTTACTCTTTTAAAGCACAAAAAGTAAACTAAGCAATATGCAAATAACATAAACTCTGTAGAGAAAATAGTATTGCTGAGTAATTTTGAATTTATTTTCCATTGAATACTAGATACTCAATAAAACTCCCTAGTTTCCACTGTACTATACATATACTTTACATTGAGATGCATCAAGACATAAACACACTCAAACTTATATTTGTGAAGCATTCACAAATTTAGAAAGTAGCCACTAATGCTATACTATGTCATACAGAAGTAGCATATATGAAATATGTAAAAATGTAGCACTGTTTGTATTTATGAAGAAAAGAATGTGATACAGCAATAACGAATATAGGTCCATGATATCTTTTTGAAGAGGAAACAGAAGACATTTAATGGTTTGAGATGTTCTAAATGTTCTTTGTTGAAAGCAGAATTTTTCCCAATGTCCTACAGTGATACAACATTTTGTAATCCATTGATCATAAATTTTAGTGTGGTCACACTGTCTACTGATACAGTGGACAACTAGAGCACACAGTTTAGTGCCCATGGGGAAATGTTGTCTCATCTATATATTTAAATTTTAATTAGTTCTTGATTAATTTGCTTCTTGAATTTGAACTGGTTTATGACATTTAATAAGATCTTCTGGGCCAATTCAACAGGGGAAACTCCCATCTGGGTGGTTTTTAAAGGCTGCTTCAAATTTCTACGTGGAAAGGAGACTTTACTTTAAATAGATATCCCTTAAGATTGAGACAAAATAGAAAATTGATAAATGTAGGTTATTGTTCATCCCCATTTGCTCCCCCCCACACACACCACAAAAGATTCAGAGTTTAGATTCATGCATTGTGACATGTAACCAAAAGTCGATTGTGTATTTGTTAGCACTATTACACCTGGAGGTATAATGTGGAATTAAAGAGAACTAGGGAAAGAAACTCCTTTGATGGTTTTAAAATTAAAGACAAGTCCTGCTTTATCATAAATATCACTGTTTGATGAACATGGCTGTAAAGTTCCAGGGTTTTGTATTTGTTTTTCTGGAATTAAGTTAGGCTGATGGGCTGAAGATAAAACACAGCTACATCAACACACCCCAGCTCTTTATAAGATTATTTCTGACTACCTAAGATTTAACTTCTTTATCAATCTATTGTAGCACAGCAGATGTGATAATAAACATCTATATTTTGGGGCCATTTATTCCTGAGAATTTATAGCATTTGTAAAAACATGTACCTTTTGCAAGTCCTAGTCTTATGAGTTAAAATGAGCAAACCTCACCCATTTCAGAAAAAGTGACTACATGAAAGTTGGCCAAATTCAAGAGCCTCATTAAAACTTATTTGTTTCTGAAACATTAGGAGTCTATGCTTAAAGAACTTTTCATGGCTCTTTTTATTTATACTTATAATAGATCTTTGTTGTAATATTTACCAAAAATCCTGTTTAAGGTGCATTTCAATTTTTTCACCCATAACACCAACAGAATAGAAAAGAAAAGCAGCTCATTTTAAGTGACTGAATGAATAAAGTCAATACAAGTTTTCTTTAACTCTAAAGAAGCCTGTAATTTCCAAAGCAGTGATAAAAGTAGATTCAGAACCTGTATAATGAGTTTGGGATGGTATAACTTACAATATATGATTAATATAAGCTATATAATTTACTGAATTACATTTGTTTTGTGAGAAAAATAAAACAATCTTTTAAGAGGTAACAATGCCTTAATTATGTAGCATTACAAGGAAAGAGGTGTGCATATGTTTATACGATAAAGCTAATGCCTATGACACTCAATGTGACAAGATATAATCACAATTCATGATTTCAATTTTCTAAGTGAAATGATAGTTATGTGCATGTAACATTGCCACCATGGTTGTTGGTACATTTCATCCTATGTGACCTTCAGCAACAGCATAGTGGAATTTCATGAGCTCTTGGCTAAATCTTTTCAAGATCATTCTTACCATTAGGTCTGTGTACTCAGCTAGTTTTGTGTCATCAACAGTCTTGTTTGCTTTTTCTAGCAGGTCTTTTAGAAAGTTCTGTTAAAACAAAGAACACTCAGATAAATTTCATCAATAGTGTGCAGGCTGCTTCTGGTTCCACATGTCTTGAAAACAACATACAGGAATGCAAAGGAAGCCTATTTTTGAGGGTAGAGCCAGTGAGGAGAGGATCACAGAAACAAGATTGAAACATGATCTGTGTGGCATTTCAGTAATAAAACGCCTGTGACAAGTATAATATCTGCTTTTTACTGAGATAGGATCTGTCATAATCTGAGCTATCTGATGCTTTTAGGATTTCAATGAAAAGAGGATCTGTATTGTGTAGAGATCGCAATTCAAACTTTAAAAACAACCAGCTCAATGGAATCCTTTCTACTTATATGATATTTCCAAAAGAACTCATGTGACTCTTCTGTAAGAAACACAGGGCTCTGTAACATGTGTGAAAAATTATCAGCAAACCAGATGGAGAGCTACCTCCAATTTCAAATGCATTTTATGTTCCCGTGGGCTGTATTTACATATCAGTTTATAGCTAGTGTGAAGCCTGTTTCTCTAAAGGGCCAGGTGGTTAGCTTTTAGGTTTGACATAGTCTAAATAGCATCATTTAAAATGCTTCAGCGAACAGTACAAACTAAAACAGTTGGCCACAGATAATGGCATCGAATCTTTGAAGGATATATGAATCATATTAAAATTAAGATTAATGTGGGAAGGATGAGAAAAGATGATTATTAACTTGACAGTTGGAGCCTGAAGTGAGTTTAATTTTTTTAGGCAGACATAAATTGAAGTTTATTTTGCAAAGGCATGACATATAAATGACAATGGAAAGAGTTAAGTATCTCATAGTCTTTCATTTTGACCAATACTGTTCATTTGTAATTCTTTTTATTTTCTCAGAAAATAAATGAATGCAATTATGACAAATGAGTAGATTCTGTCCCCACATACTCCTGAAGGATTGAGTTTCTTTGAGTACTTCTGCTTGGCTGATTTGACATCCCTCTTTTCAAGAAAGGTGACATTCTTGGTTTGATAAATTTGTTTTTCACTTCAAATAATATTCTTCAAATCCAAAGTGAAGCATGGAAAATTCAAAGCTATCTAGTGAGGGTGAGTTTTATTTTTGAGCCTTCTGAGTCTTTTGTCAGAGATTAATTGGGTTAAAAAGCCTCATCAGAGACTAAAATGGTGGTCACAAAAATAGCCTAGGAAAAACCTTGGGATGCTAAGATTCAAAGTCATGTCTGAGAGCAAGTGAGCAATGTTTTACTCTATTATGGATCTTAAAATTAGCTTTCTTGAAAGATCCATTAAAAAAGAATGCCAACTTATCTTCAAAATTCCCCAGGGAGGAAGACTTCTATTTAGAATCTCTTTCTGAGAAGAAAATTTAGAACAAAGGAGGAGACTTTTAGAATATTTTGAGGTCACTGTTGGAAAGGAGCTGAGGGTTTCATTATAAATGGAGATGATTTTCAAAGGATTTTTTTGGTTTGATAATAAAAGAAGCATAATAGTGCCGCTGTCACCTCGCATTCTCTGTTTGCAGAGCTGCATGGATGTGAGAGACATTGGTTTGGTTCACTTCATATTAAAACTATTTACACTTTCCAAAGACTGCAGTTGAATGTTTTTCAAGTTTACAATGGTGCAGTTGAGTGTTTTACATGTTTGCAAGTTGTGCAAATGTACAGCTTTATTTTTAAAGTGGTATTCTTTTTAACTTTATCACATATTCTAGTCTAAACCTAGGTCCTCTTTCCTAGGCAGCTGTGTAATCTTGAAAACATTATTCAATCACACTGAACTTCAGTCTCTGTAAACTTGGAATGATAAAAACTGCCTTGCAAGTTTTCTATGAAGTTTAGATGTTAAAAGGAAATACTTCAAATACATAGAACTACACATATTCAGATGCTCAATAAAACTAACTTGCTTCCTTTTTAGTCATTTTATGTTTTGATCTAGAGGAAATAATATCTTTTGGACTGAGATATCTTAACGTTGGTTTGAGGAATGGAAATTAAAGATAGATTCATGTTTCTGGAAAGGCTAATGGATTGAGTTCATGTATAGTATGATTATGCTTTGCATTTCACTAAACTTTCATATGCACTTACTTAGGGCTCATAATACCTCTGAGAGGAGGGTATTATTGTTCCCCTTCTAAAGATGAGGAAAGACTGATGTAGACATTTGCACTGAGGTTAAAACTTTATTTTAGATCTCTTTTCCTTTATATCCTCATCTTCCCACACCACCTCCTCAGTACCTCTGAGATGTGAATTGATAAATTTGTTTTCAGCATTGTGGTGTTTCAACATTTAATCCTATTAGGATTTCGTTGACCTTGCTGAAATAGGATTTTGTTAAAGTTGCTGAGTGGTAGCAGAGACTATGGAATGTCTTGTGCAGCCTTTACTAGATCACTTAACTTCTCTGAACACTTTTGTTGCTGGACTTAATAGTAATCTCATGGAGATCATGCAAAGATTAAACAATGTAGATAAAGTAATTGGTAAACATTAGAAATCCCCAAGTTTTTGTTTCTCTTTTAGAAGAGAAATGATATATGTTTTATATATAAAATAATACTTCAAATTTCAATGAAAAAAGGTGGCTTACTGAGATTGTATCATATCTATCTGTCTTGTCTACCATCTGCCACATCTTTCATTTATCTATCCATCTATCTACCACCTTCTAGCTATTGATCTATCATTTATCATCTATCAATCTGTCTCACTAACATTTATTCTCATCTATCTGTCTGTCTGTCTGTCTGTCTAACATCTATCTTTCTATCATGTATCTTATATAACAATTTGTATATAACACAGAAAATGCTAATTTCTCACTTTGCTGAACAGAATTTCAAGAAGTACTTGGAGTTTCTTTTTCGATCTGCTATTTCATTAATGATGTGAAAGAGTGGGTGAAAATGTGCCATTGCTCAACATTAGTTTCTTTTGTGGGAGGTATTTTTTTTAAAGCAGTGAAGCCCTTAGAGTTCATAATTGCATTTCAAGGGAAAGAAAAAAAACTTAGTATATATTTTCATTTCCTTACCTTAAGCTCCTCAGTTTCTATGAAGCCACTGTGATCAGTGTCATATTTTCTCCAAGTCTGTAAGTAATTTGGAAAAGGAAAACAAAATCTTTAAAAAGCCAACTAATTTCCTATTTCCACTAGCTTTCTTAAAGTGACACTTCTCTACTACCTTCATGAATTCCTCGCAGGACTTCAGCTGCTGGCATCGGAAGAGCAGCAGGAAATTCTCTTCTGTGGGTAACACATGAGCCAACTGGAAAAATTTTTACAGAGTGAGAAACAGTGGTAAGGAGCTTGAAAACAAGTCTTTGCTATAGCCTGCTGCTTAGTTTTGCTTCAACATGTTCCCTAGGAGCAATTTTATCGCCTAGAAAATTAGGAAAAAACAACATCAGTTGGTTTTCCTGTCTGGTATTTTTCTATTGTGTGTTCCACAGCATGTGTGCTCTGGACTGCTTGGTTCTTAGGGTCAGAGAAGGGTCGTAGCAATGCCTGGTGCACATAGGAACAGAAGCATCGAGGTACACTCAAGGGTACATACCACAGCCAGAGATTTTGTGTGAAATGAAAGAAAAGAGAAGCCTGAATATAGGGGAAATGCAGTAAAAAAATGCATTCTCAAGTCAGGGAAGAAAGCTTTCTGTGAGGTACAAAGGGAGATAGACTCAAGACAGTGTAAAGCTTTAGAAAGAGAGCTGGAAAAACAATTCATGAAGAGCAGTAGGAAATTGAATAGTAAGAAATGTCCATTGTAAAATTGTTGGTTTCTGCTAAAAGGAAATCTCCTGCTTGACTCCAGGGCTTAGGTTAAGTTTTGATCTTCACTATGTGACTCTGTGACATTTTCCCCTTAGATCTTCATTCCATGACCTCAATACTTCTCCCCTTTATTTATTTATTTTTTGAGGTTAACAGGACTAGATACCATTTTTTAAGATGAATATAATCTATCTATTCAAAGCAGAAGAGGGAGCTAGATTGATGGCCCCACTGCAGATGTGAGTTCTATTTCTGGCTCAGCTGCTAATGAGCTGTGGTCCCCAGCAACTCCCTTGCCATTTCTGACCTTGGCAACCCTTATCACTGAAATAAGGAGGTAAAGGAGAAAGCAATGTCTCTTAAATGTTTTTGGTTCAAAACACCTTCTATTGGAATTACTTTATCTTCACCACCAAATAATGAATCCCTCTTCCTAATCCATTATATTTTGACTAATTTTCAGAAACTGATAACTTTTCCAATGCACAGAAATGGACCTTCATCCTTAGAGTTCAGACCAAGAAATTGTAGTGTAGGTCAAGGTCAGTATAAGTTCTAAAAGTTCTACCAAATGATAGCAAAGATTATAGTAGTATAGTATAGTACAGTACAGTATAGTATAGTATAGTTCTACCAAATGATAGCAATGATTATAGTATTTAAATTTTTTCATCTTTTTCAGCCAAACCCCTAAATTTAACATAAAACATTTTATTCGGGGCTGGGAAGGTGGCTCAGTGGTAGAGCGCTTGCTTTGCATGCATGAGGCCCTGGGTTCGATTTCTCAGCACCACATAAGCAAAAAGAAAAAAGCCGGAAGTGGCACTTTGGCTCAAGTGGTAGAGCACTAGCCTTGAGCTGAAGAGCTGAGGGACAGTGCCCAGGCCCAGAGTTTAGGCTCCACGACTGGAACCCCCCCAAAAAAACCCCAGAACCCCATTTTATTCAACTGTCCTGTTTTTAGATCTTTGAAATAGTACCTCACATTAAAATAGATAGTTTTATAGGCTGTATATGTGAAGATGATGCTAAGGGAAAGGGTCTTATTAGAATGGGTTTTATTCAACATTTCATTAGAATGTTTATTATGAATCAATCAGACAATATCCTATGTTGAAGCACAGGTCACTAGAGTACATAGATAATATGTGGATGAATCTAAAAGGTGAGAAAAAATGTGTAGATTTGCCAGTAATTGACATTTGTTCCATAAACATAATTTATACTACCACAGTATGTGTGTGTTTTCTAGGTCTTACTAAATTCAAGACTCTTCTGTGTCCTTTGATTTCTTTGAATTTTTGAATCATAAAATCCAATACCTGAAGAATAGCCTGAAATCCTCAGATCCCAAATCTTTTAGTTGATCCAGAGAGGTTGAATGACTTGGTTTGGTGATTGGCAGAATTTGTAAGTGGCGTCAGTGTGATTCTTAGTAAATTAGATCAACAGCATGATAGAATGTAGTGGTAGTTCCTTCGCTCTTGAAATGTACTTGGAATGCAAGAAATGCTTTTTCATGTGGTTTTTACATGTAACAAGATAGTCTGGCTTTGTTAGGCTATGTTTCCACTTATTGAAAACCAGAACCATCTTCCTTATCAAGTCCTTTTTCCTCTTTGTCTGTAAGTGGACTGCTAGTGTAGACAGTAGCTAATAGTGATTTTCATTATTAAAGTAGCCAGATACTGGATAAGTCATGTCAAGAGTAGGTCAGCACCTAAAGCTAAGGATGAAGGGAAGAAGGAGAGAGAATGGCAGTGGGAGGATTGAGCATGAAGGTCTTCAGAGGAGGCCTCTCAGTTATAATAAAATTTTCTGTAGGGGTTTTTTGAAACATTTAAGACTTAACAGAAGGTGAGGAGAGCTGAGCGCTGGTGGCTCACGCCTGTAATCCTAACTACTCAGGAGGCTGAGATCTGAGGCTCACCGTTTGAAGCCAGCCTTGGCAGAAAAGTCCTGGTGAAACTCTTATCTCCAATAACCACTCAAAAACTGGAAGTGGAGCGGTGGCTTAAGTGGTAGAACACTAGCCTTGAGCACAAAGAGGCTCAGGGACAGCACCCAGGCTCTGACTTAGAGCCCTACAACTGACCAAAAAAAGGTGAGGAGAAAAGAAGAACAATAGAGGAAACTGGAGAGAAGAGAGGAAAATAAGAAGCATATGTCTGAAAGAGGAAAGAAATATGTAAGAGGCAGAAATTTTAAAGAACAAGCTGGCTGATAGAACTAGATGGGACATGCACATTTTAGGAGGTTCTGTACAATACTGGATGTCTGGTCATATCATACAATGGTGATGATGAACAGAAATAGGAATTAGCCAATAACAGTACCATTAGCAGGAGATAACCAATACCATTAAATACCTTAATTTAATGGCATGTACCTTTTAAAGTTTGGGGTGTACCTTCTCCAGGCCATTTATTTCAGTAGAGAAGTTTCTCATCTACGTCCCTGAGAAGATGTAAGCTGTGTAGGCCCAGTATGGTACGTGCTTCAAATGAATGCCGTAGCTTGATCGATAATTTTATTTCATTAAAAAAGTACATCCTCACAATCAGAGAGACAAACAGCAAATGTATTCTCTCATATATGGAGGTTACATCAAAAATACTCAGACACAGTTGACCAAAGGAGATACTATTAGGAAAGGAACAAAAAGGCAAAATGCCTATGTGCATCTTATTATGCAAATAGTTATCAAAATGAATTCCAGGAAATGAAAACAAGAGGCTTTTATTTTCTTTGTTGCTGTTTTTGTCTTTTTTGTTCATTTATATGTCTTTGGGAATGTAAAGAGAGGCACAGAAATGGAGGGACAAAAGGTGAACAAATGCAACTGTGGTACTCACTAGACACTATGAAAATGAATTAAAGAACTTGTGGGTAGGGGATGGGAGGGAAAAACAAGAGAGTGAGGGGAAGGGTAACATTATCCAAAAAGAAATGTACGCTTTATCTGTCTTATGTAACGGTAACCTCTCTGTACATAATCTTTATAACAACAATAAAAAAATTAGAAAATGTATTTCCTTAGCATGCTGTATAGTGAATATGTTTTTTACTATCATCATTTTGCCTTATCACTTGAGTTTATAGTTAATGTTGAACAAAAATGGAAAAAAGTTCTCTTAAGAAAATGAACTTCTCCAAATCCACTAAATACATAAAAACAAATACATAAATTCATAAATAAAATAATAATTTGACCAGCAGTGACTAACCATAAGATTAAGGATATTCAAGCATCTTTGTTTCATAAAGTTCACATAATTCACCTAAAGTTCAGAGGTCTCTAGAATGTCAACTACAAAGAAAGTCAAATTGCTTTTCATGTCTGGTGCAAACTTAAATGTTTCTTTGCCTGTGATATTTTTATCTTTGATTATTTAGAAATGCTGATTGAAGCTGGAGGTATGACTCAAAGGATAGAGCATTTGGCTAGCTGGCACAAGGGCCTGAATTCAAACCTCAGTGTTATCAAAAGATAGGGATTGTATCTACATACAATGTATTAATTAGTTTAAAATTTCATTTGACTGTTGATGTGAGCAGAACATGATAACTAACATCTATTGAACTGTGAATTCTATGCTAGGCACAATACTATCCTATCTTACAAACATTATAAATAAGTCTTAAACATGTAAAATATCATTAAAAACAAATTAGCCATTAAAAAAGCAAGGAATATATGTGGTTAGGTTATGGCTATAGTAAACATCAATCTTTTTACTGTCTGTATCACAATGTGGCGGCTCTGTGTAGACAGTTGCTTCTACCAATGCTCAGGAATCAGTATTCAAATTTCAGAGCTGGGTGTGGAAACTCTCTGGTTATAGCATCTAACACAACATCTAAAACCTGCCAAAGGTCTTTCATAGGTGGTGAATAGAGCTGTATTATTTTTATATTTGCTGTCATGGCTGTCCATAGAAGTGCCCAGTACTTCCTATGCCAACAGTGATGGTGATTTCTTGGTCCTTGGCCTGCTTGCTGCCCTTTTCAGGAATTCCAAACATTTTTTCTGGATTGCAGAAGAGTGTGGAAGATATTAAGGGTATAGGGCATATAGCTGCATCCACAAACACAAACAGAATCCCTCAGATCTTCACTTATGGATATTCGTTGCTTGTTCCTGAGAATGAATGTTCCCACTTGTCTGTCTCCTTGTGTTTTGCCTTCTGTTTATGTGTCCAGCAACTACAGAATGTGAATTTGAATTGATTGATGCAATTAAGGAACTGACTATCTAGAGTTGGCATAGGCTGGAAATAAGTGGAAGTAACGTTCTGTTGTAAACAGTTCAAATAATTTATTTCTGAGCTATAGATAAGTATTGGAGTAGGGAGTGTGATTTTCTACCTAGAGCTCCAATTGGGCTCAGGCAGTGTGGCTGTTGTCTCAGCTGTCAGGCCCCTTGGAGAGATTGCCTAGGCTGAAGACAGCTGCATCCCGAAGAGGCCACATCCTACGATTAATCCATATGGG